GCTATTGTCATTGAGAAGCAGTTGGTTTTGGTGAAAAAACAAGATGAGAGAGAATGGCCAGAGATAAAAAGAAAACCAAGAGTAATTATCCCTGCATTGATAGTCATGTAAACTATATCTAAGACACTGAAGGTTTTTTTTTTTTTTCTAAAGGAATTTTCTGGTATAACAAGCTTCATTTCATTAGTGTTTTACTTAAACTTTGAATGCCTTTTTTTCGTCTTGTGACTCGTTGTACTGTGACAGATTACTTAAAGTAAAATTAAATTACCTCACTTGACCAGTTTGGAAGTGCTTGTGATAGCAGATGCTATTGTGGTGTTGTAGGGATGAAGTCCAGCTAGGTTCCTTATGTATAAGATCTTTGATATTGATTGAGATCTTTGATATTAGAGCTGGGAGGAGATAAATCCATCCCCAAAACTACGGATGGTTGTTAGGCTAGCTTTTCCAATTCGAAAATCAGTAAGTTGCATTTTAAATTAATTAATGATCTTAGCTTCATTAACTATTAATTTCAGTTCTCCTTTGAACTAAGTCATATGTTTCAGGTCTCCTGCTTCGTTTCACTTGTTTTTTGGTTGGGATATGGGGGTGGAGATGTGAAGTATCAGTGTTCTGTTGTGAATGGAGAGCCCAGAAATAAACTCATACATATATATGGTCAATTAATTTACAACAAAGAAGACAAGGAATACAAGGCGGGAAAGGACAGTCTTCAATAAATGCTGTTGGGAAACCTGGACAGCCACATGCAAAAGAATGAAACCAGACCACTACTTTATACCCTACACCAAAATTAACTCAAAATGGATTAAAGACTTGAACATAAGACCTGAAACCATAAAACTCCTAGAAGAAAAGATAGGCAGTAAGTTCCTTGACATAAATTTTGACAGTGAGTTTCTGAATTTGACACCAAAAGCAAAAATAAGTGGGACTATATCATATTAAGAAGCTCTGGACAGCAAAGGAAACTGAAAAGACAATCTACTGAATGCAA